AAATAGAGGCCACAAATCATGTTGACTAGGGCAAAAACCCAAGCTGAAAGTGCAACCGAGTGAAATCGGCTTCATTAGCCCAATTACCAAGCACGCGAGGAGACTGCCTTAAGACCAATGAGAGAGCACGGCGAAGACGAACAAACCCACTACCCATGAGGGTGTAAGAGACCCGGTGGAGGGCGCATATATACTTCCTCGCAAGATTGGCCATTCAGAAAAGGGCATTTTTGACATCAAAGTTGAAACAGAAGCCAGTGATGGCAGCAGCAACAGAGATAAGAGTGCGAACAGTAGGTCATCTGTGCAACGGGGGGCCAAAAGTCTCATCGTAATCAATTTCCACTATACTCCTGAGAAAAGCCCTGGGCAACCAAACGAGCCCTTGTATCGTTCCAACAGAACCATCAGAGAAGGGTTTTGAACCCTATACGACCCATTTAGAGCCTACAATATTCTTGCCAGTAGTAAGGAACCAATCCCAAGTCTGAGTGTTAGCTAAAGCAGTTAACTCGTCATTCATGGCAGGCAAATCCAATTGGGATCATGACAACTTCCTTGTAGGACCCTAGGCTCGAAAAATAATATGAAGACAAGAAAGGAAAGACTGATATGAAAGGGGAAAAACATGTATTTACCAAAACCATACCAGTTCGGAGCACGACGATCACGCGCGGAAAAAAAAAACGACGTGCAGGAGGAGGCGGGATCCAAAGAAAATAAGCTGGAGGGACTCAGTAGAGCTAGAGATAGGTGAACTCGGAAGTGCTTTGCGACGCTGATAACAAGAAGGAGGGGGGCAGGGTGGGGGAAAAGGCGGGGGAGCTGGAGAAGGGAAGATGCTGCCGGATATTGAGGTACTAGGAAGGAGGCAACGGTAGAGATCCTCAAGATCAGAAACAAACCTCATCAAGAAGAAACATCAGAAGGAAAATGGGTCCAAATGTGAACCAATTCCTCTTTGGTAATAGGAACAGGGGTGGAAGGGAGGTGAAGTATAGTTGTGAGTAGGGTTAGTTTTTCCAAAAAAACAGTGACATGCCTGAACATGAGAAGCTTTTTAGGGTACGGACAGGGGGATCAATAAGCACCGATAACCTATTCTTGGATTAATGCCATACCCTAAAGAAAGACACATAGGCACACAACGAGACGTAAAGCTTAGAGCGCGTCCCGTTTAGGAAGCCGAGAACAGAAGCATGTTAAGAACCGAAAACACGAAGAAGAGAATAATTGGGAAAGTAACACCAAGAATGTACGGGCTCATACGGGAGATGAGCACGGAGAAAAAGAGAGTAGGCATCCGATTGAGAAAGTAGCAGCAGTGAGCACAGGCTTTTCCCAAAAGACAGAAGGCGACAAAAGGATGGAGAAGTAGCAAAAAAGAGCTTTCAAGGAGATGGCGATTGTTTGGCTCAGCATGACCATTTTGGGCGAAGTGGTCTGAACAAGCAGCTGACATGAATAGTACCACGAGTAGCAAAAAACTCCTCACAACTTCAGACAAGTAATACTCACCCCCCCAACTCAGAACGAAGAACCTTTATGGTGGTGGAAAATTGAGTGCAAATCATTGGAGTGAAATGGAATATTTTTGTAAAAATCAATTTCGTTCATGCAACTAAACCCTGTAAAACCGACATGAATCATCCACAAAGTACATACATTATCTTGCGAACCTCCCTGTAGTACTATGGGGAAGGACCCCAAAACATCACGTATGAACTAATTTGAAAAGGAGAAGATGAAATAGGAAACTACTTTTATAAATGGAAGCTGCAGACATTTTAGACCAGTTTACAACCACGACACTCTGAATCTGCAGCAATGGGAAAATGGCCCTAAATTTGGTCCAGACTAACTAACATCCTCACACGAGCACTCGCACCAAATGACCCTACCCAGCAATGCCACAATATAAAAAAAGAGCACTATTGCTTTAAACCAGAAAAGAAGACAATGCAGTTAAAAACACATCTAAGTAGAACAACTGTAAGCTGTCCAACGATGATATAGTCTCTCCAACTCTACGCCCATCCAAATGCCTCTTGGACCCGGATCCCTCCACCGAACCACAATAGAGAGGAAGAGAAACAACATCAAAACCGCGAATCAGAATATGGCTAATAGAAATAAGACTAATGAGACATGATGTACATAAAATACCAGAGAAAAGAGACACAAATAGGGGAAGAGAAAATCAGAACCAATAGAGGAACAGGCATAGATGAACCATTAGCAGTAAGCAATAGTGATAGGAGAAGGAGGGAGACTCAAATTATAAGGAGATGATGCCAACACGGTCATTATGATGGTGAACAACCAGAAGTCAAAGATCCCGAAGTGTGGATATTACCTGGAGCGATGAATGTTTGAACACCAGACAAACACTAATTGGAGTGGTAGTCATAGCGGAACGGGACGAAAGAGTTGGATTGCCCACATAGAGAAGACTTGAACTGCTCAGCTCAAACATAGACTGCATATTGGAAGATAGACCATTCTCAAAAACTAGTGCAGAAAAGGCGGCAGATGAGCGAGATCCCGAAGATGTCGGCTTAGAGGATGGTGGACCAGGTGAACGGCCTTTGGGCTACACCAGCTTAGGAGAAGCATGTTTCCAATGACCTTTCTGATGACAGAAGCTGCACTCAACCATAGAAACCCGAGGCTTGGGCTTACTAGTAACTTGAAATAAAGAAGATGGTGGGGTTGGCAAGAGCGGAGGAGTGGCAAAAACTAATTGGGAATGAGGAGTACCATGAACCACCTTAAAGCGAGTTTCTTCTGCAATAAGCTCACGGACAGCACCATCAACAGAAGGCAAGGGGGACCGATGAAGAATAGCGCCCCGAAGTGGCTCAAACTGATCACGAAGGGCCATAAGAAACTGAACAAGACATTGCTTCTCCCGATACTTGGTATAACTGTCAAGTAACTGCAAATCTGATGGTTCCATTAGAGCAAGCTGATCCCAATAAGTAGTCATCTCATTATAAAATTTCTGAATGGACTTGTCTTTCTGACTAGCACTGCGAATGGACATCTCAAGTTTATACTATTTTGCAAAGTTAGACTCAAGGTACATAGTTTTCAAATAGTCCCAAACTTGTTTAGAAGTAAAATACTTAGAGAAATTCATACCAGTGGTGGTTTGAACTGAATTATGAAACCAAGTAAGAATTTGTGCATTTTCCTTATCCCATTTAGCAACATCAGCCTCAGTTTCTTTGGATTCTAATGGTCGAGTAGTTACACCAATAACATAGTTCCACATACCTTTACCCATGATAAAATTTTTCATTACATGAGACCAATAAGAATAATTTGTGCCATCCAACTTAGTCGTGATGGCTTGCAATTTATCATCAGCCATATTGCTATAATCAAACAACCCAGTGCAAATAACAAATAGTACCAGACACAGATACACACTGAACCAAAGACCACGATGACGAAGTGCGAAGAGAAGAGAGAGAGAGTAGTACCAGTCAGAGAGATACAGTGAGCCAGAGATCACGATGAGGAAGGGCGAAGGAGAGAGTTCCAATCCCAGCGACTAGAACCACAAACGACCAGAGAGAAATCAAAGCAGAGTCAGGAAGTTGCAATTGACGAAAGAATGACGAACGACATCGAAGACTTGGAGCCGAAATTACTGAGAGAACCACGAACGAAATTCATGAAGTAGAACAGAAGAGGTAGGCGCGAGATAGGGCAGTCGGGTCTCAAAGCCAGGCAGAGGCATTCGCGAGAGAACTGTTGGTCGCTAGAATGATAACAAAGAACATCTATTTCATATATTTTTGAATAATCATTGAGTACAATATATATAACCTAAATGAAATAAACCCTAATAATCTATTTTAACGAGTAAATAGCAATCCCAATGAAACAATCAAAGACAAATCAACACAACAATTTAACGTGGAAAAACCACAATTGGAGCGCCTCCAATTGTCATAAAAAAATCACGGGCAACAGTCACAAAACAATCCACTAAAAAGATATAAAGGAATTACACAGGTATACTCTCAATTACCTAGCGAACCCACGCCCGAATTGAACCAACCTCTATGTGCCTCTTCCAACCCCGTCTTCACCTCGGAATTGTCTTGACGATGAGCCACTCTGGAATCTACCAAAGCTTCAAGCTCGAATTCTTAAGAATCCATCGAAGAACAACTCTCTCTTTTGTGTAGAACAAACAAATAATCCTTTGATGTATACTCTTTAAACCATGAGTTGAATACTCAATCAAAATATCAAAGAAAACTAGCAAAATATTCCCAGATATAAACCCTAGAACCCAAGAAAAAGATCTGGAGAAGTAATCTTAAAATCTGACAGCAACCCGTACTTATAGAAATCTGAATCGCGAAGCTCGCTCGAGTGAAGACTCTGTCGCTCGAGCGAGGAATCAAAAACGCGTGTTTTCCATTAGTGGCTTCGCTCGAGCCAAACAACCTGCACTCGAGCGTAAAATCATCTCTTTCAGGTTTTTATACGGACGCAGCCTTCGCTCGAGCAAGAACTCCTTTGCTCGAGCGGGCAAGGGCGGACATGCAACTTTGAATGCAATTTTGCATTTTGCTTCGGGGGCGCTGCCCCTCGACCCCGCCTAGGTGCTGCCCCAGACCCGCCAAGGGGCGGTGCCCCCTGGACCCCCGCGAGCTGACCAGGCAGCTCGATCCCCGTCATAATCAGCGAAGTGGCAATCTTGAAAGTATTAACATCACAAACTTCTCTGCAAAGCACAATTCGGGTTGGATTCGCATCTAAACACTCATAGCCTCATTGAAATAAAAAGTGCGAAAATAAGTACAACTAAAAGGAGTTTTGTCAAACGAGATTGCTAAGAATAAAAACCTAACATCTTTGCATTTTCAATAGATTACATGTACTTACCAAGAACAAAAAAACAAAAACAAAAAAAAAAAGCTTTGTCGTCGTTTTTCTATTAGTTCCAATGGAATATTTTGTTTTGATGTTCAAACTGCTTTCTTTCTACTTCTTAGGAAAATGGGTAGTAGTTGCTTCTTTCATTTATTTATTTTTCTGAAGTATCTTGCTTAACTGAACTTCTTTCTTTAGTCATAAAAAAAAGTATAGAATCTATCGATGATAATTTTGTTTGCCATTATTATATATGCAGGCAAGCATATTTCATTATGGCTCAATTGGTTTGATTGAGGAACCTTGTAGGTCAACTCTTCTTGCTGCTACGGAAATCGCCAAACAGTCGGGTTGCATTCTCTCGTATGACCCAAATCTGAGAGTGCCACTCTGGCCCTCAGAAGATGTAGCTCGGGAAGGCATAATGAGCATATGGAACAAAGCCGATGTTATTAAGGTATATTTTGCAATAAATTGATATATAACTGTGAAATTGTGGATAAGTTTTTAATGTGTAACTAAACTTTGTTTTACAAGTAATGATATACAGACAGAACTATTTTTACAGAATTTTCATACGGATGTGGCTTCTTGTCATACTTTCATTTCCAATCAAAAATTGTCCTCACAATTTAAAAAATACATTGACACATCATTCTGGATGTGTTTTCTGCATAAACTTTCTGTTTGTAAATCATTTTCCTTGTTTTTATCACAGACCTTATGTGCAAATTGCAGGTAAGTGAGGATGAAATCACATTCTTGACTGGAAATGATGACGATGCAGCGATAGAGAAGCTTTACCACGCAAATCTTAAGCTTTTGATTGTTACCGAAGGTGCAGGGGGCTGCAGATACTACACTAAGGTTATCATTTGGATTTGTTACTTCTGATTTAAATGTGAATATTCTATAATTGGTCCAAAATATTTGGTACTTAATGAGATGGTTCCATTTGGGATGACAGCATGGTGTAGGTACTTCACTGGATCATATAGTGTGTCTATCGATTTTGGTCTGAACTAAAGGGCTTTTTTTTTTCTTTTTTTTTTTTGAACAGTATCTGAACTAAGTTAGACATTGATTTTGAAAAAGGAGTTATTCTTACAGAAAATTCATACAAAATCTGCTACCAGAATGATGTGGCGGTTGCATTTTAGCAATTAATAATCTTTTTGGTGGGTTCTTTGTTTTGAAGTGAAAGGCTCTGATGCAGCCATATCATTCTGTATATTTTTTCTGCTTGTATAGCGCTACTCTTCTGAAAACAGTAGAAAATTATACATTCAGACCGCCTTTTCTCTGAAATTATGCTTCCTGGCCTCCCTCGCTCCTCTCTTCTTGGAGCTCGTCCATTCGTTGGGTGATCCTGTGCTCTCACATATGAGTGTTTGCTCTTCATTTAGGACCCATTAGTGAGATTTCTGCTCATTGCAGTTACTTCTAGGGTTCTTCACACCTGGAAATTATTTGGACCATTGCACCCTGGCCTTTGATCAGATAAAACTGCCTGCGCAAAGCCCATCCTATGACACAACTAAAAATGAGCCTTGCGACGAGATGTGGACATTCCCCATGATGTGGTTCGCTCCAGTCCCGGTTTGATACAATCCCATAACTTCTATTTTAAGTAAAATCAAATATCCTGTGCAGGAATCTAAGGGTAGGGTTGATAGTCACAAAGTTGATGCAGTTGACACAACAGGTGCAGGTGATGCTTTTGTTGCTGGATTACTGAATAGTTTGGCTTCAGACCCTACTTTGTACAAGGTATATATATTTCATCTCTGTTTGCTTGTAATTATTTCTTTTTCCTCTTGTTTTCTTTTTAAATAGAGTCCTTTTCAATATAATTACTATTTTCTTTTTCATGGGAAAATAAGCTGTGTTTGGAAATATATATCTTTATGTCAAACCATGTTGCATTGACTTGAATATGAGTGTTAGATGTAGTTGTGCAACTCGAGTGTATGATTCATCTAATTTCCAACTGCAAGGACACTTGGACACAGTTAAATTTTATCATTTCTCGATATTCTTCTATTATTTCCTAAGAGTAAAAAATGGTGTTTTTATGTAATAAAGAAATCATATCGCCAAAATCATATCGATATTCTTCTATTATTTCCTATAGTTAGGTCTCGGGTCTGTCTTTTTAGCCCTCTAAAAAAGCCAAGTGTAAAGCGTGGGCTTAAAAATCCTATTTGTTTGGCATATCTTAAAAAAGTAGAAGTTTTCAAGGCTTTTTAAGCCCTTTTTGTTTGATAACATTTGGCTTATATAATTTTTCAGTTTTTCACTGCAAAATGACTGTCATTCAATGTTTTATGATTCCACTTTTCCATTTTTCATATGAATGACATTTTCACACTTGTAGAGAGCAAAATAGTAAAGTCAGATTATATCATAATGATGTCAGAAAAAAAGGACATGAAAAAGGCATTAGGTTGGCTTTTAGGCTTTTAAAGCTGGTTTTTTCTGCCAAAAAACCACCTAAAGACCAGCCCAAACAAGGCCTAGTAAACTTGAACTGCCTGTTGTCCAACTAATCCTATGACCTTACCCAAAATGCTAAGCGTCCTATACCTCTGCATTTAGAAGAGTCCAAGTGACATAGATGTGAAAAAAGCAATATAATTTTTATGTGAAAAACTGTGAGTAATGCTTAAACAAAGTTATAATATTTTGCTGCAGGAGGAAGAGAAATTAAGGGAAGCTCTTGTCTTTGCGAATGGCTGCGGTGCTCTCACAGTGATGGAGAAAGGAGCGATTCCTTCATTGCCGACAAAAGAAAAGGTTCTCAAATTTCTGAAATAATGCCACAGCATGACGAAGATGAATGTTTTTCGCCATTGTGTTCAAGTTTTGATTTGCAGCCAAACAGACTGTCAAAGGTGTCCATTTTCGCCTCTTGAGCTAATGTGACATTTTATTTTTTTTCTTCCATTTTCTCCACATTTTTCTTCCAAGGATTGAAGTTCTTTATGGTATCTTTATGGTTGTGAAAATTTCTCTAAATCTAAAAACCCATTAAGATGATTGTTAATTACAAAACTCATTTGTATGAATGTTTAGAAAGAATATCCTTTTCCAATTTGTAAGGCATTTAACTCGCTTGGTGCGGTAAAAATGTATCAGATCTGACTGAATTTGGAAAAATTCAGAACAATTATATACATACTGGATTTCCTAGAAGTGAGTTTTAGTTATGATTAAAGAGGTGGCAAATTGCAGGAAAAAAAAGAAGGGAAATTACAAAAAAAAAAAATCAGAGTTTGTAACAAAATCAATTTGAGTTTTTAATTTCGTCAAATTAGACTCTAATCTTTCGATTTGTTTTTGATAAAAAAACATTTGCTTATTTCCTTTAATTAAAATAGAAAAAAAATTATTTTAATCATTAAATTCAATGTAAGTGTACATAAAATGTCTAAAATATATTTTTTTGTTGGGTCTAATCACTAAAATACTCTTTTTCGTCAATTTCACTTAAAGAAAAACATACCGATGGTTTTGATTGAAAACAAATTGAAAGAATAAGGTTTAAATTGACAAAATTAAAAATTTATTTTGTTGCAATGGTTAAACCTTAAGTTCTTTTTTTTGTAATTTTTTTTTTTTTTTTTAAATATGCATTTGTTTAACGTGAAAGTAGTGTAAGTGCCAAAAAAGTTAAATTTTTATATATAATTCATATGTAACTTAGCTTTCATTTCTTACTTAAACACACAAAATTTTGTTCATGTGAAAGTAGTTGTATGTTATCATCTATCATCTTCTTTCCAATCTTCTTACTACTTTCTCACCAAAATTTCATCTTACCAAATGCAAGCAACAAAATAATTTTTTTTTTCCAAGATCACTTTCTATCATTTTCACTTCTCACTACAATTTTTACTCTAACCAAACGGATCCTAGTAAATTCATGACTTCGTAACGCTACGCAAATATATAAAATCTATCTAATAATGCCGTCCTCGTTATACATTGGATACAAACCTAACATTTGATATAATTCAAGCAAATTGACTGTTCTCATATATACATTAAAAAAAAATGTATAGAAACACAGAAAACGAAGACACAAACAATAGAATTCAAACATTCTACCACAATTAAGTCTCTTCCATGCTATCAACCATGATTAGTGGCTGTCTTGTATATATATAACTATGAACCATCAATTTTAGTTGCAATTTACCTATATATTCCATTTACAACATACTTTAACATGCTTCCCACCAAAAAAAATAAAAATAAAAATAAAAATTCTAAGATTATTGAGAAAGCATAGTGCTGCAAAATATACATCAGGTTATGATATTGCAGTATTATTCTTGGACCATATCCAATGACATAGATACAAAGATAGATAGATAGATTAAAGTTGCAGTGAGCAAAATGCTGCACTCAATATAAAGGACATTATTGCTTGAGCAAGGCCAAAATACTTCAGCAGCAACAATTTTACAGTTAGACATACAAAATATATGGAAATGACTATGATCATAAATATGTAGATATATATATGTTGCACAATTGCAAGTCGCTGTTCACTTCTGAGGCGAAGAGCGCTTGATTCTCCCTTCTGGGGGTCCAATAAACAGATCAGTCTCTACGTCTGAAATCTCACTGCTTTCTGTGTATGGCACACCTTCTCTCTCTTCGTTTGATTCTTGTCGCGGTAATAAGCCATACTAGAAAAAATATATACATGTCTATAAGACCGATGTGGTTGCAAAATTTACACTTAATTTGTTTTGTCAAAAGCTTCGAAAAACATTTTCTTATATTTACATGCGACTCTAAAAAATGTGTTAGTGGTTTTGCCATATCATATGATCACGACCTTGGAATACAGTAAAACCCCAAATTATAAAGCAAACCAATTCACATAATAATCCTAGAAGATATATTACAATATAGAAATAAACATACCATATAATTAAATTACATCGCGTTGCATGTAAAGTACAAACAACAAACAATCAAAATTTGGGTAATCACAAAATAATAAAGATCATATTTATAGCATTAAATTTATTTATATTTTTTAAAAAAAAAAGAAAAGAAAAAACTTAAGAAATATTTTTAAAAATAATAATAAAGGTAACAATAGAAATAAAGCCCAAAAAGGGGGATAGAGAGAGTCACCTTCTCACATAGCTTTGCATTTTCAGCCGTTAGGACTTTCTCCTAAATTAAATTGAAGCCAAAAGACATACAACATCAGCAATTAGTGAGATAATTTAAGTAAAATGGTATTTACAAACTAAAGTCAAATTTTTAAATAATAATTTCATATTTTTAGGGTAAATGGTATTTACAAACTAATATATATATATATATATTTTTTTTGATCGGCAAAGAAAATCTTTATTGATGAAGGTATGCAAAAAGAATACAGGACATCAATAAAGAGGAGCTTGGAGCTAACTGAAGCTCCAAGCGCCAGTTGGTGAGAAACCAACAACAAACCAGAACAAAAAGAAGCAGAAGAGAAGCAAAACAGAAAAACTAAACTTCACTGACAAACGAAACTTCACTACTAACAAATGATTAATAGTCAATGAAATTATATTTAAATAGAAAACAATAAATATAAATGTTACCAAACATCTTAAATAGTAATTACTATTTTGAGGTGTTGTAGGTAAAAAAAGATAAAATAAAATAAAAAACTAGTAATAACTGTTTTAAATTAATGTTTTTAAAATTAAGTTTAAATAATTATAATTTAAAAATATTTTATTTACAATTTTTTCTTTTTTATTTATTTTTAATATTATATCAAAAATTAATTTTTCAAAATAATGACTATTTTAAAAAATTAGTAAATTTTAGCAAATTTTAATAAATTTATATTTACATATCATATTTTACTTTTTACAAATCATAACAAGACAAAATATAGAGGGAAAGTAGTTAAATATGGTGTGTCATTAGTTTGTAGGTAAAAACAATAAATAAATATATAATAACTATTTTAAATTAATGTTTTTAAAATTAAGTTTAAATAACTTATAATATAAAAATATTTTATTTACAATTTTTTATTTTTTATTTATTTTTAATATTATATCAAATATTAATTTTTCACAATAATGATTTTTTCAAAAATTAGTAAATTTTAAGAAATTTTAATAAATTAATATTTACATATAATATTTTACTTTTTGCAAATTATAACAAGACAAAATATAGAGGGAAAATAGTTAAATATGGTATATCATTAGTTTTCTGTATTTAAAATTAATTTAAAATATAAAAGGGGTACAATTTTCAAGAATTGAAGGTGACTTGTTTAGCAGGTAATATTTTAAATAGCAAGTTTTTTCATAACAAATAGTAAGTGAGTGAATACGAAATAGTTAGTATGTTTGTAGCAAATGATAATTTAGCATTATTTTTTTATTTTTTATTTCAAAAGTAACCAAAACTACTTTACTTTTTAGAAAATCATCTTTTTGTTAACCTAATTTTACTATCTGTTCATCCAATGGCTAGCATTTATCTTATCTAAATCTAACAGTCTGTATTTTTTTTTTTTTTTTTTTTTTTTTATACATGAAAACCACTTTCACGTATGGTAAAATTTTGAAAAAAGTTATTAAATTTTAAAATCACTTAAACAATATAAATGGTAAGATATTTACAAACTAATATATATATATATATATTTTTTTTGATCGGCAAAGAAAATCTTTATTGATGAAGGTATGCAAAAAGTATACAGGACATCAATAAAGAGGAGCTTGGAGCTAACTGAAGCTCCAAGCGCCAGTTGGTGAGAAACCAACAACAAACCAAGACAAAAAGAAGCAGAAGAGGAGCAAAACAGAAAAACTAAACTTCACTGACAAACTAAACTTCACTACTAACAAATGAGGCTTAAGGAACAAACCACTGACATCATCAATTCACCCAAGCCATCACCAATCCACTGAGTTGATATACCTGGACAGCATCTATAGCAATGCAGTTATACAGTGACTACTGTGAGGAACACAACCATTCAGCATAACAGAATAACCGAATAACACAACCATTGAGAATAACACAACCATTCAGCATCTTAACCGTAAGGAACAGAACCACTGACCTCACCAATTCACCCCAGCAGACTATCACCAATTCATCCAATCCACCCCAGCAGATCAAACTTACAATAGAAGCAGTCCCTAACCAAAGTAGAACAACAGGCAGTGATGTACTTCGACAGACCAGCACTGATGCACAACAAACCAGAACAGCACTGATGCCACATAAACCAGAAAAACAGGCAGACAGCAGAGCAAACCAGAACAAAATAGCACAAAAATAGAAGGCCGAGCAACAGATAGACAGCAAACTAAACCAGTACTGATGCACCCCAAACCAGAACAACAGACAGACAGCAAAATGTCTAAACTGAAATTGGAGCACTAAATTCCGCCCCTAATCTGTCTCCAATTGCAGACGAGATCATGCACTGAGTATGGGAATTCTTTCATGGAAGCTTTGAGCCAAATGGCAGATCTGAATTTTATGAGATCTAGCAGGCCTGAAGCAGAGGGTTGTGCATTAGAAAATACACAGTCATTTCTGAGTTTCCAAATAGACCATAGTACGATTAAGGGGGTTGCTCTCCATATTAGTTTGTCAAAATTATAGAATTTCCAGCACATCCACCAATAAAGCAGGCCATCTACAGACTTAGGAATACACCAATGTATGCCCCAATCCTCAATAATCGCTGACCAGATTGACCAGGAGAAATGGCAATGAAGCAGTACATGGGGAGCAGTTTCTACATCAGAGTTGCAAAAATGGCAGAGGGGAGAAGCATTGCTGTTCAGAGAACCAATCTTGAGCAGAAAGTCAGAACATTTGATTCTAGATTTCCAGGCTAGCCAGGTGAAAAAAGATACTCTGGGGGGCAATAACGAATTCCAAACAAATTTGCTAACCCTGAGATGGGGGCCAAAGAGAGATGAGTGGTGAGAATAAAGAGCAGAAGCAGAGAAGCTCTGACCAGAATCTGTACACCATTCTAAGCAGTCTTCACCATCCAAACACAGAGATGGCGCAGAGGATAAGAGAGCATTCAATCTCACCTCTTCAGCCAATTCCCATGAGAATAACTCTCTTCTATGAGGGAGATTCCAAACATATGGGCTTGATCTCCTTGCGTAATAATGATTGA